GTTTATAAAACAGCTGTTGATTATTTTTAAGCAAAGCATTAGGCACAGACAGAAAATTTAAGGTGAAGAATACAAAAGATTAATAAAGAAATTCTGAGGTGGATACAGAACTGTTTGAAGGGGTACAATAGGTTTATATCAATGAGGAATAATTAAGATGGAAAACTTCCTCCACCTGTTCCTCGAGGATTCAGTCAGTTTGGTACTTTCATTTGTGACTGTGATGCCAGAACTTTGAAGACTGATGGATACAAAATTAGAAGATAGCGTTAATTCAAGGGGAAAAAAAATCGCACTGTCATACAAGAAGAACTGGATGGCCTTTTGGATTAGAGTAATACAGGAGATTAAATTAAATGCATCACTTCACTCATTTGCTCTTCCCTTCCTTGTTGTTGTTGTTAAGGTGGGACTCCACCGCCAGAAACTGATCAATACACCTCGATGCTGTTTGATAAAAGAATAGTTATACTAACAAGAGATAAAATTCTTGCTACTACCTTGATTTGCACCAAGTTTAGTTTGAAAAAAGAGTGAGCTTAGCTTAAACAAAACTGCTACACGCATACTACCACACATATACCCTCCCCAATTCCTCCTATTCGACCATGGCACTTTGAGGAGGCTTATACTTTTCGGGGAAAAATACTCAATTTCGTCAAAACCCACTGGAATCCCCTACAGTGTCAGGGAACATTTAAGTCATTAGTCAGAATATCATTCTTTCACTTCAGTGTTAATTCATGTTGTTCTAACTTTGTAAAGTCATTTACTTCACATCTATGCTCTAACCACGAGCCCAGTGCTGGTGGAAGCCCACATTTATTCACACATTTTTTTTAAATAATTCTCTTTGTTAGTTTTCAATCACTGGAATCAAAGATCACTTTAATTCTAGTGATAATTACTTAAACAGATGTTTAACTAGAGGATATTTGTAGATTACAGTTTGGAGTTATAGCAACTAGTATAAATTTGCATCCAGAATACACAGTGACCAAAACAGACCGTTAGTAGCCTATTTAAGAAAAACAATCAAATAATAGAGAACAATTAAACTCAAAGGTGTATTAATTATTGAAATTATACTGTACTATGCTTTACTGAAAAATAATTTAAAAAATTTTCAGACTAATAAGACAGCAGAGACATCTTTCTTTCCAGTACCTCTAGGTTAGTATGGCATTCTATGCTAACACAATAATAAGCAACAAGATGGCACAAATAAGTTTCTGGAATAAGTTTTAGTCTTCATAATACACATTAGTAATCCAAGAGTAAGCATCCAATTTGGGTCAACGCTACTAGAGGAGGACTTATTTTATTACATCTTATCAATGTATGGAACCCTACTCATGATGTGGATCTAAATATAGATATAATTTAGAGGATCAAAGAGAGTTACCTACAGAGTCAATGGAAAGAGAAAGGCACTTATGCGGAAAGGATAATTCAGAACACTGTCTTAACTGCTAATAAGATGTTCTCCATTTAGGCATATAACTTTTATATTGCCTGAAAATTTTCTCAATGCGCACTTAAGACCTTCAGAATTGTTACCCTGTTACCATGAGATTTTTCTTCCTTGTTCTGTAACATACAAATGCCACTGTTTTCATTTGTTTCTTTTATATTTCAGTACTATTAAAAAAATACTTCAGATTAATCACAGGTGATTTATTCTATCAATGTTTTACTATGCAACTAGTAGCTCTTTTGTGCTCAGGTGATTAAAGTACATCCATTTTATGATTTTTAAAAGAAATTTAATAGAAATACTTGCACAAAAATTAAATGTGAAGTGTCTTTTTTCTAACCATAGTCTTAAATCTCTACAGTGTCAATTATTAAACATGCCAAAAACATGACCATACTAACACACTGAAAAAGAACGTTTGTGCGTCCTTTTTCCAGATATGAAGGAAATGCACATATTTGGTATGCTTTAAAACTGCATGCCAGTAAATAGTTCTCATCCCATGTAGCAACCAAGGAAAAAAAAAAAAAAAGAAAATGATGCATCTGATGATCTTGCTACTACTGCTCTTATCCGTTAAAAAAGCGTGAGTTCCCTTTTACCCAAACTATTGTCTGCTTGAAGGGGAAATTTTAAGTTTCTGCTTTACTGATATAGTCTCTTTGACATTTTTTTTGGAAGGACTACGCAGTTGATTCTATTCTGGCAATCGATTTTAATTCTCAGCTTAGTGAGTCAATAGCAACTAGGAATGACAACTGTATCTCATTTTTAATTTGCAATTTAATCTGCAACTGCTGTAGTCAGATCCAAACGTTTTCAGAATTTAATTGGTTCCATGTATGCGGTGCTTGCTGTTCACACATAGACATAAGGAGGCTGTGAAGTGATGCTCTGAAAAAGTAGAGATTCCCTATTTAAATTTGCCATATGAACAGTATTATTTTTCCTGGACAGGAAGCATCAAGAGAGATTGCTCAAAGAACAAACCCTAAAAACAATATTGCAGGAAACTGCAGGAGTCAGGAAAATTTTCAACAGTTTAAACAGGCTTTCTGGATTTGTAGAGGGCTTAATATCTTCTCCAAGTAATCAAACTTGTCACTTAGATATCCTGGAGGATGCAGCTGTAATAGTGCTTCAGCACGGGTCATCAATGAACTTAGAATTTCAAGAGGTACAAGAGCCTATACTACTTCAGCTATACTACCATGACTGTTTTGTTGTTGTTCTTAAAGCTCTAAGGCACAAGCAGAATGAACAGCTAACCGTTCAGGGAGGCAGTGCAAGCCAGTCTGCCTTAGTACAGGTTACAGTTCCCAGAATAAGAATTTTAAGAGAGAATGAGGCCTATTCAGGGGGATATCCCACACCATAAGAAGCTCTGATAAATGGAAGAATTCCAGTTTCTTCATTCTAGAAGCAGGTTTTACAAGACAGACACCAAAAGCAGAATTCCACCAATATAGTTCAATTACAGAACACATGTGAGCCGTAGCAAATGACAAGGAGAACAAATATCCAGCAGATTTCTTTCCCTTGAAAACAGCCTGGCAAGAAAAAGTGTGTTATGGTGCCCAAAGGAACAGAATAAAACAACAGTGAAATTCGTTTTAGCATATTTCATTTTAAAAGCTCTGTACTACTCATGAGCCTCAATTTTGCCTTCTTTCAATTACTCTCAGGATTTATACATTGCTCTAACGTTTCTGAGTCATCTTCACAAGCCAGCTCTCATTTTAAGGAGGTGCAAGCAAAACCACATGCACACATAAATATATATCTTGTTTTCATTCTGGACTGAGGAGGTCTTGCTCACCATCTCCACTTAAAAATTAAGCTTACCTTAAAGATTTTTCAACTACCTGCGTACGAAAAACTTCTTCTTGGTCCAAGTTTATAGTACAGAAAACATCTCTCATTTTGTTGGGGACTAAATGTTTGGCTTCACCTGTAAATAAATTAAAAAAACCCTATAAATACTTAGGGGAACACTCCCCCACAATTTATTAGGCACAAGAATGTTACAGTCTGAACAAGTGTTCAAAATTTACTTTTCCATTCATTTAGTATACAGTCACCTAATAATTTCAGTCATTCATAACATTTATAAGGTCCAATATGTACACAGGAATTGCTACACCCAGCTTCATGTGGGATGAGAAATTGACAGGAAGACAACAGTGCACTGACTCACTAACACCACTTCCTGCAGCACCTGCACTTTCCCTTGAGAGGTCTCATCTTGGGCTTGACCCTGTCCAGCTTGCTAAATCTGAGAAGCTTGCAGCCTGAGGTGATATGGTATTAGGTCATAAGACCAAGAGATGATCTGACTGAGCTATTGTTCACTCAATATTTTCTCCAGAAATATTTAGGTTAAAGGAAACTGATTATTAAGATCTCATGCATCCAATTCTTATTCATCTTCCACAAAAAATAGTTGTTTTTAACTTAAATGATGCATTTTCAAAGGTTCAGTTACGAGTACTATCCCCCGACCTCAACTGTCTGGCCTAGGAGAGAAAGCTGAAAATCACCTACTGGCTAAATGCAATATGGAAAAGGACAAGCTGAAAAGGAAGGCTCTACAGCCAGGGTAACTGTCAGCACAGGAACACAAAGGTTTTTTGGGTACCGAATCTAGCCCATTGCAACAGCACACACTGGACATTAGACATCCCTTTCCGGAAACTGCTACTTCTAAGTAGTTACTGCTAAAAAGAGCTCCCAATACTCAAATTGGAAAGCTCTTCGAGCATCTGAATGCTGTACACTTCCACGCTTACGGCAATACTATCATTTAGTTTAAATAGTTATTTCCCCTCTGGCGTTTCCTTCCCCTCTGGAAGTCTTTGCAGACAGCAATCATACCCTTTTCAGCTTTTATTCTGCTACAAGAAATAAGGCAAGCTTTTCCGGTCCCCTCTCATACGAGAGGCTTCCATTGGCGAGTTGCCCCTCTCTGTTGTACCTCTTCCACTTTAATTATTAGCTCAAACAGTGGCAACTAGAATTGCATAAAGTGTTCCAGATTAGGTCTTGACCAGCAGCTTTTACAATTGCATTCATCCTTACATTTCTACCAGAAATATCTCTCCTAATAAAACATAGAAGCAAAATTATCTAAACTTCTAACACAATGTTTTAAGGGACAATAGGGCTAAGACTACATCAAGCACTGAGTTTTAATTACTTGTGTCTCAGTAATGCCATATCACCTCCACATTCAAAGATCACTGCTTGAAACTATTTTTGAAATGTCATATACCTGTTCTTTCTTTAAAGAATTGCAGATATGAAGCACTGTGGAAAATATAAGTTTCATTATCTATGCTGTTAAAACTTAAAATCAGAAGTTTGGTTTTTTTTTAATTAAATAAATGCCTGACAGTCCTGAAAATTAACTAAGTAATACCTGACATTTCAAAGGCTACTACAATTGCATCCCAGCAGAGAACATGGTGGTTTAACAAGAACAGAGACTGAACTTCTGTATGGCCTTTTCACAGTCAGGTTTATGTACACTGATGGAAAGTATGAACAGACATTTAAGTAACTCTTCCACTGTCAAAACTTCTACTCTCAGAAACATCAATGAGCTTTTCAGCAACTTGGGTGTGGGAGAGGAGGAAGTAAACATATTTTTAAATGTCATGCTTAATGTTGACAGATTAAAACAGAACTGGTTTTTAATGCCACTAGATCCCGAAAAAGAGATTAAACTCAAAATTACACTTAAAGTGAGATACTGTAGAAAAAAATGCAAAAAGCTAGAGATTGAACATCATCCTATGTTTTATTAAAATAACATTTATAAAATAGCTTCTGCCTCAGAGGGCTTCTGATGTTGTAGTTTGTAATTAATATGTATGACCTACATATGCCAGTTATTCCAGAGAAGGACCTTCTAATTTTTCATTAATATTCTGTAGTTTAATCATTCTATTTTTACATAAAATATTTAAGCTCTAGTATTACTTTATTGGCACTGTAAAGCCAGAGTATAGTGGACTTGGAAAGGGGATTACAAATATTAGTTTTCCGTTTTCTTTGAAGAATACAAATCAACTATTTCCATATACACCTTCACAATTTTCATTACTGCTATAGTGCAGTCTTTCAGTACTAAAAGACCCAAAGGAATAGGAGAAACAGAAGCTCTAATTTCCTATGGAGATAAAAGCCTTTATTCTGTAGCCAAAATGTCCAGTTTTAAGAATGCACAAACTCAAAATTATTGAGGGCTTTTTTTTTTTTTTTTTTTTTTTACACATTTAAAATCATTTTTGAAATCCTCCATCCTGAGGTAAAGATAACTTCTATCACTTATCAGCTAAAATACCGAACGTGAGATTTCACATCTTTCCAAACTCCTCCTAACACGTGTTACTGTGGGAGACTTTTCAGCCATATAATGGTCCAATTCTTTCGAGAGTCTTACATTCTTGGGGGAAAAAAAACCCACGCAGGTAAGTCTCAGTTTTTCCTCAAAAAAACAAACAAAAAACAAACAACTCCCCCTGATCCTAAGTGTATAATGGTTGGATAAAAATCAAGTATGAACAACACACATCTCTGCCTGAGTTTTCTGATTTTCAATTTATTCCTCAAGCATGCAATTCTGAATGACAATGATGAAGGCATTCTGAAGGCAGCGTAAGTTCTGCTGTTCAAAAGAAAAGAGAAATAAAGAGAAGTGAGAGAGAAGTATACTGAAGAAATGTATACCAGTGTTTTCCAAGGGTTTTTTTTTTAGAAAGTGTAGATAGTAAGAAAGAAAGTCAGAAACACCAAATAAAGTTGTTTTGGGGAGAAGAGAGAAATGAAACCAATTTTAGCTTTAACTGTAGAACTGTACTTCAACCCTTTTCACAGTGACTATCATTGAAAAATCTATAACATGATACTCACTTAGAAAAGCTTGTGGTCCAAACAGCAAAACACGAAAGGATTTGGATAGCAGCAACAATACAGACAAATTTGTTCTGACCATATGAATTCACCCGTTTCAGTCACTGAATTGCTAACACAGAAATTATTCTCACATGACACCTTTAGCAGTCTAATTCAACAGAAAAGGCATGAAATGCATCATTAAAATAATAAATGTCTACCTTTCTATTTTGAAAAGATAGAAGTTCTTAATTACTTCTACTTACATGACTTTTAAACCAACTTCATCACCACTCAAGTGCTTACTTTGGGAAAACAACAAGAAATAAAAACCCTTGGCCAATTAAGTATATTAGTTTGGATTTTAAAATATTTCTATAAAATAGTGTTTAGGTTCCCTATATAAATATTTAGGGGAAAAAAAAACACTCACTTCAAAATAAGGAAGATTAGATCAAACCCAAGCAAAAGGAAAAACCGTGACACATAAGTATTAGAGCAATGAGAATTCAGTTACTTAACATCTAAAAATTCCAATTTTCCATATTATCTTAACATTATAGAAGCAAGTAAAGATAGCAGTGTGGCAGCCCACTAAACATAACAGTCCTGTCACTCTCCATTTTGTGTATCATTTCTTAAATGTAGATACAGTACAAAAACATTAAGTTAATCCTCGTTCACCCTTAAGAGCGCATCAGAACCTAAGCAAAAGCAGCAAGTAGGACAGATTCACTCAACAGAAGATATTGCGAATGGAACATAAGTGTACAGTTATTTTTCATCCTTTGACAGAAACCCGAAATCAAGAAACGTAAAATAAGTTTATGCCCATGAAGTGTAAAGTATTCTATTCAGGAGACTAAATATGTTGTACAGCAACAACTAAATCCACTGAGGAGGGCAGCGTAATCTGAGATAACCATATGGTGTTAACCATTCCCTTCAAAAAGTTTGAAATAGAATGCAACCCAAATTTTATCCAATGAGAAGTTCTGGGAGATGACAAATTAGGGATATTTTCAGAGTGCTCCACTAAGACAGGCCTTCAGCAAACATAACAACGTAACAAAAAAACTAAAGTAACCAAAGTTATCTACCACATAAAAATGCACTATATGCGTTTTCAGAAGCTAGTTATACAACTTAGAACACTAAACTATGAAATACGCCTAGAACTACAGGAAAATATCCAAACACCTACTACAGTTAAGGGGCTTTTGCCACTGCCATGACACACAAAATAGAGCCACCAATATAGAACTGTGATCAAGAAAAAAAAACTACCTGACTTCAGCAGATTCCTGGTGAAAACCTGCCAAAATATAAAACTACATTTTCAAATAAAAAGTTATAGGGGTTTTAGACTAGTAAGACAGGATCACACCTTCACCTTGCATCTTATACTTGAAAGCCAGAGGCAGGAGACTGTCTACAAACACTGGTATCCCACATAGTATATATTATATCAGGGACTGCAGACGTACTCCTATCCTGTTTTTTCATTGCTATATATGTAAAAGCTACTTAAGTCATCTCTAAGCATGGGCCTCAACTCTGAATCTCTTGTGATGATTTGTATAAATCTTAGTAAACTTAGTAATGTTATCATCTAACTATGTACTGTAAAAAAAAAAAATTACTACAGATGATGCACGTTTTCTATACATGTAGTATTATGCAGAACTGACATTACCTCATTAAAATTACCATGATCTGTCATGAAACATATACAGAATGAGTAGTATTAAGTCCTGTAGCAGTTTACATGCCAACAAGACTTATTCTACTTGTGAAAAGCATGTTATAAGAAATTTTTACAAATGTAAGGTCTGCTACTGGTAAACCTGGTAATAATACTGGTAATCAGGGGCGATTATATAATTACATTTGTAACAATGTAACATTTTCATATAGTGTTTCAAGAAACTCCTTTTATCACAGCTATTACTTCCACTCATTTTTCAAATTTGCTCCTAGAGTTCTTCCATGTTCTTGGCAACTAACTCTCTGTGTATTCCCTAGGAAGCAGGTCATAATCCTCTGCTTGCCATTACTTTTGCCAGTTAATTGACTGTGGTAATATTCAAAGCTACAACGCAATTGCAGGGCTATTCATAACACATGAATGGGATGCAATAAAGCTCGTTTCAACATCAGCGTTAAGAAATTCATTTCTTGTCTTCTAATACTTAAGAGAAAATTTCGTTCAAGTATCACATAATTTAAAGCTCTGATCTGCTGTGGTGATAAAAATCTTATGATCAAATGAGGATGCAGAATGGCATCAGTGAATAAGTTACACCATGAAATTTCAGAAAGCGTGTGTTCAGCCTGCTCTGTGAGCAACAGTTCTCTATAGCTAACGCTGGATGAAGAATACCTTCAGCTCTGTTTAACAGCATCTCCTGTTCGCATGACCGAGTCTTCTACTTGCTGAGGACAAATTCACGTCTACACTACATGGCATAATATATAAGTAAATATGATTTCACTTCTCAAATAAATCTGATCATTCAAAAGGTGTTCATAACTGATCCTCTGTCCCCGTACAATCTCAAACTCAGCTTGTTTCATCTCATTCTCAAAAAAGTCGAACAAATGCGTGAGAAAGGAAATAAATGGGTTACATCTGAATTGTATGAATGTATTTTGATACCCCTTCAGGAAGCCACTGCACATCCTGTTTCTCCTGCTTGCTTTGAGGTCTTTGCAAGCCACATCCCATTATCTGTTTTTCTCCTCTTCCCCTCCTCCCCAAGTGCATCACAGTGTTCGTCCTTTGGTTTGCCGTGTTACTGGGGTACAGGTATTTTTAGACAGCGCTTCCTAACCACCAAAAAAAAAAGTCATCAGCCCCTCTCCCTCACACACACAAACGCTACACAAAGAAATAGAAACATCAGTGACCGTTTCCAGAACGGCCTTTTACCATCAACTTCCTGAACATCAATAATTTCGCAATTGCTGCTTGACAAACAGACTCCTGTGCCGGAGGTTGGGCAGGGAGGGGGCCGCTCTCTTC